TTAACAAAGGGCAATAACTCAAAAAATAAGAACTGCAGAGTACCGGTCCTTGTGCACTGCACTTCGGGTTATTGAAAGAAGCATGCATACCAAGTTTGAAGTCAATCAGACTTATAGTGACCGAGTTATGCTCCGGACAAGCTTTAGGGGACGCCGACAACGACGCCGACACAGACGCCGCCGACACCGCCGACAAAAGTAACCCCTATATGTCACCTTTTCAAGGCGACACAAAAAGTGAGCACTTTTTCGGTGCCGTCCCCCACCCAAATATAACATCAGGGGGTTGCCAGAAGGGGGATGTGCCCCCTTCTGTTTGGGGGGTTTAAAGGGGGGCGGAGTCCCCCTCATCGCCAAGAAAATTTTGGACATGTGACAGGCTAAAAATGGCCTCAGGTCGATCTTAGGGTAACTAGTAATTCATTGAGAAATTGCAGCACTTTGAAATCAGTTTTGATGGAAAAAAACAATGCAAAATAGTGATTTTTGGCAATTTTGAGACTTCCCCCCATTGCCATGGTAACAGGAAATTTACCATTGAGCATGCTGTTACAGAGGCTATGGTGTAGTCAACATTTGTGCCAAGTTTCATTAGTATTGGAGCATTTCTCATTCTTTCATAGCAGTTTGAACTTGTTACAGGAGGCTTTTCAGTGAAAATGGCCATTTTTCGCAATATGCTCATGGGGTAAAAGGTTAATATACAAACACTGTAAGCAATAAATTTTAGGTCTCTAAATAAGTAAATTTACTACTACAAAATATCAGTCTATAGAAGTGTGGATCCCTCTGCAGCAATGAAAGTAACAATATTATGTGAAACTTGCAGACTTAGTTTGAACATAATGAAACAGTGTAGCATGTCTCATGCCCTCTTTGCATAATTTGGTTAAACAGTCACTATATCTTGCAGCAGTGTAGCCTCCTATAGGTTGTGCAAGGATAACAGGTTGTGCACTGCCGTGGCCAGTACTTTTCAAGGAATATTTCAAGCCATTTGCTTGTCTTATATAAATGCCTACCTACAAATTGTATCTAACAATTCACTGACTGAACATATTTATTTGAGAAATTCAAATATATCAGCCTGACCTTTGTTGACTTTTGTCATGTAACCCTTGAAACAATGACAACAATGACTCATTCTTATTAATACAAAGCCAGGCCATTAGCTGGACACCTGTTGAGTTTGACCAGTCTTTTTTCTGTTTGAAGAATTTTTTTTATTAAAATCCCTTTGATTAACAATGGACTGATCGAATTTTCAAAGTAGGGCAAGTTCATTCCAAATTTTTTACTGATAACTTTTTTAAAACGCTTATGACATGCTTACAAAATACTGACAATAAAGGAAATTATCAATTACATAATTATATAACATGCATTATAATTAAAATACTTTATATATATCTATTGTTCTTTGTTCTTGTCAAGAGATAATGGAGATCCAAGCTGTTTCAATTAACCCACACAACATTGCCCTATTTTTATAGTAACCTCTTTTCTAATTGGGATCACTTGGAAATGAGTGACTGACATTTTTTTCCTGGGTTGGTCTAGTTTGTATCCAATAACAATGGTTCATTTCTCAAGTAGGTTTATCCCATTTTATCCCGCTGAAATCGATGAGGCAATGCTCAATATATTGGTATGTTAGGACCTGATAATCAGACAAGAATCCTAAATATAAGACAGTATTTATCTGTAAATGAATCCATGTTACTGTAAATGAAAAGCTGGTTAATTATGTCCTTAAGGCGTTTTCATTGTGCACGTAATTAATGCAACTGTTTAAATACAATAGCCCCTCCTCCCAAACCCACCCACAAGTGATTAATTTTTTAGCGGTAATTAAAAACTGGCTTAATTTTCTATTATCTTCTGAGAAATTTTGAGTTTTACATATTTTTATGAAAGACTGGAATTTAAACATAGAAGTCACCAAATATTTGTATTTCTTTTAAAATTTTAATATTCTTGACCAATTTTAAACTATTTTACCCATTGTTAAAGAAAAAATAAATCTAAAGAAACAAAATTTAGTGCAGTAACCTTAATGAGTTAACTCCTATTTAATTTTAGTATGTAACTGTTTGACCAGTCTTGATATTATGCTGGAGCATGAAAACAGAATGAAAGTTTATAAACTTACATTATAAATGCTTTCATAAAAATATTCTGATGTAACTTCATTTTAATTTCTGTTACTTTGTCTCTTTATTTTGACCCAAGATCCTTTTTTGTTTCAATGTTTACTGATTATTTTCAACTAAAAGAATTAGTAAATGAGAGCATAATAAAATTTCTCTATTCCACAAGAATAATCTGTTGTTTTTTTAAACATGTAAAGTTACATAGGACTTTGAATTCAAGTCTGATTAAAAAGATTTATAAGTAATTTTAATGGGGCATCAATCTCACAATGCCAAGATTTGACATCAATTTTGAGAAAAAGGTTAAACAGTGCAAAAATACTGCTTGAAATCACCAAAATTCAAGTAAAATTATTTACCAAAACTGCACACTATATGTAATTTGATAATATCTACATGAACATTTAGAGATAATCAATTCAACTGCATTTATTGACATTAATGAAATATTGTTCCTTTTTGTTGTGTATTATTTTGCATGTATATTGTTTCTTGTTTTGTTTTTGTTTGTTTTTAAAAATATTTAATAAAAACATTGGCCAAAACAATAATAAATACCTTAAAATAAATATAGAGTATGAAAAGTTTGCCAAAATCATCTCTTTGGCATTTTCTATTGAACAACAATTGAATAAAAGAGAATGAATAATTACAACACACCCATTCATCAACTGGCAATGAATGTTTTATACGGGCTGACCTTGATAATGATTAGAGGTTCAGGTCAATTTAGTGTATTTGTACTTGGCCTAAGTGCACATCAACAATGACCTAGTACAAATAGGTCGCTTATTTTCATGGAAAAACCGCAAAGGTTCACTGACTGCCTTACTAACAAGCAAACAAAAACACATTAAGTTCATAAGGTGACATTGGTGTCCTGAAGCCTAACAACAACATATGACATGAACAGTTCAATGTTTTTCTTTTTTTGCTTTTATTCTATAGGTTAGGTTTCATGTCATACTGACCCTGTTAGGGTCATACAGAGAATTTGCATCTTTACTTGTGAAGGAAAACCTTGTTTTTCTGATGGGGAACTGGTTATTAAGTGCCTATTTCATGCATTGCTTTAGGCACAAATAGGTACCAAAATAGAACCAGCAACATTCCCTATGCTTGCAAAGGAAAATCATGGGGCCTGTTTGAATGGTTAAGGTCGCTGACTTTCTCACCGACAGTGACTTTGTAATTTTTCATGTGAGGAGGTTTATCAGCTAGCTGATAGAATGTGGATGGTTATATTCTGTCTTGACTGTGAAGGAAATGCAAGGTTTTTTACCCAACAGGAAAGCTGGAAGGTTGCCATCTGAGACCTTAAAAGAGTTGGTGTGTTTTTTAACCCCCCACCCCCCAAAAAATACAAAAATAAACAAACAGGGAAAAAAATTTCATCTTTCATCTTCAAACCTGATTACAATTAATGAGAAGCACATCTAATATTTTGTGGCCTCGTCTGCATTCATTAATCTAAAGCATGACTACAGCAGTACATTAATGTCAACCTACCATCCGGAAAATTGTATAAACACTTTAATATAACAGCTATAAATAATCATACACAAATCCCACATTCGTATAATATACAGGTATAAACTAGAATTAAACTGTTGCAATGTTACAAATGCTTGACTCCCATGTATTTGCCACGGTAATGAGGCATATGATTGATTGTGATGAGGACTTCTTCACTGGAAAATGGCTATATATGAGTGCTAATGCACTTTCCACAAGTACCTTTAAGTACATCTGGTATAAATGCACTTGAACAATGTTCAGAAACCTGGATATTCTCTACCCTTCAGGATAAATATAGAATGTCTTAATATATCAACAACTAAACCAACAGAAAATAACATTATATACAGAACAGGTTAAACGATTTTCTGTTTAACTTTTCAATTGTTTAACCTAAATGAATTTAGGGATCTATGAATTCTAAAAGTTATAAGAGTGTGCCTCTGCCCTATGCGAGGATTTATTGAGACCTGCCTTTGTCCTATAAATACTATGGTTGTAAGACCAATGTCCTAGGAATTCTAGGGGTTATATAAGAACTTAGCTCTGTCCCATGAATTTTAGGGGAATGAGGACTTCCCTTTGTCCTATGAATTCTAGGGTTACAAGGACTCTCCAATGTCCTATGAATTCTAGGTTTATAAGAACTTGCCTATGTCCTATGAATTCTAGGATTATAAAGACTCTCCTATGTCCTATGAATTCTAGGTTAATAAGAACTTGCTTATGTCCTATGAATTCACGGTTTATAAGAACTTGCCTATGTCCTATGAATTCTAGGGTTATAAGGACTCTCCTATGTTCTATGAATTCACGGTTTATAAGAACTTGCCTATGTCCTATGAATTCTAAGATTATAAGGACTTTGTCCTATGAATTTGAAGGTTATAAGGACTTCCCTTTGTCCTATGAATTCTAGAGTTATAAGAACTCGCCTCTGTCCTATATATTCTAGGGGATATAAGAATTACCAACTTATCTGGCTTTTTGATAATATTACAGTGTTTCAAACTATGACATACTTTGGGGGTAAATTACCCCCTTACAATATGTGAACACTGACATACATCATATACTTCGAAAATTCATCATATTCTATCAAATTCTCCTTCTTATCAAGAGATCAAACAGTTAAAATATGACTGAATGAGACTAAGTATCACATCCAGTCATCCAATCTAAACAGAATAAATGAATGTGAAGAAGTTGTTCATATTTATTTTAAGCTAAAGAAGAATGAAATAATTTCTAGGACGTACTCCATTAATTTTATACATCATACCATGTAAGGAATATCACTAAGTTCCTTTGCTATTTTTAGTAACTCACCAAACTTGGTTTATTTCTATTGGTGTAGGTGAAGTCTAACTGAAGTCCGGTGGGTCCCGTGCTAACTGATATTGGCAACAACTGGTCACCAGGGATCACATGACCTAAAATACAAAACATTTATGAAGAAACCCTTAAAACTGTTGAATTTCTGAAATGGAATTGTCCAGCTTCCCTTTCTGGAACAGTCAATTATCAATTTCAGGGGTATCAAGATGAAAATTTTAACTTTTAAGTTAACAAACATTTCTGAAGAGCCTGATCAGACTGCTAGGGTGTGCAGGAGGCCGTTTACTATACTGATGGCAAAAACTAATTTTCTTTCGATTCCAGCACTCTCATTACTGACATTTAAGGGTCTACTCATTATCAAAATCCCTACTTTGGATGTTGAATTCTTTTAAGACAGAAACCTTTTATTCCTAAAGGTTACTAATTCTTTTTATAATTCAACCTTATTATCAAATCCACCCGCTTAACTCAATAAGGAGAGTTTTGGACAAGTAATCCAGGGCTTACTCATGTGATCCTCTGAGCAAGATTTATTTCTTGGTTTAAACTTAATTCATTTAAGCTTGACTGCAAAATAAGTTCTTGCAACTTATATTAATCACTTTCGAGTCCGCTTCCTGGAACCAACCAGTACTGGTCGTCATATGAAGAAACATAGTAGTGATCCGAGTAGGGCTCAAACCCATGATCTCTGGGTTGAAAGACAGACACCTTAACCACCAGGCCATCGCTCCCCTTATTTATTTCTCTGTGGCAATTGATCCAAGATATTGAGTCTAATGAGCATTTTTGTGGGAAAAGCTGGCACTCACTTACTGAGAAAGCCACCTTAGGGTCTTTGTCCATCACAATATTATCCTTTGACCTTATTAAGCAAGGAAAGGGATGGTTAATAAAATGGTTAACTTTAAGGTAACAGCATTTATTGACATGATTTCTTTATCTAAGTTGACCATTAAGCACAGGTTTCACTGTTTTATACAGCATTTTCATGGTTATGAAAATATTAACATAAAGTATGTCAGAAGTTCATTCTATATATATATTTCTTTGAAGTAAATATTGCATTTTATTAAAGTGCAAATGTATCACTCTGTGACAGGAAACTGTTATATATAAAGTAGTTTAAATAATAAAGAAAGGACACTATAGTGTCAAATGAGAACCATAATTATGTCAATCATTTAAGTATAAAAAAGTTTATACTGTAATTTAACAAGTACAGTGAATGTAGTTCACTTAGACAGATCATCCTACATTCAATATATAGGCTACTTAACAAAATCATCCCATACACATCTGTGAACAATTTTTATATTGTGTTATTTTCCATTTATATTTTCAACAAGAACCTACAGGTCATGAAAATCTGTGTGACTGTATGTGGTTTATAGAAAATACATGTTGATTTGTTTTTCATAAAGCTATAGTTAGCAACAGTATTTCAGACACCTTTGCAGACGATTGTTCTCCTGGACTTAGGATTTATTGCATGCAAGGAGTCTGTGGCTCTTAAAAAAATATGATTTTGCGAGAGGTAAGGGACAGGGGCAAGGGAGTTTTTGTCTAAGATAAGGGACAGGGGCAAGGGAGTTTTTGTCTGAGGTAAGGGACAGGGGTTAGGGAGTTTTTGCCTGAGGTGAGGGATTGGGTTTTAGGAGGTGCTGATTAGAGAATGTGCAGAATTCTGTCACCAGTATAATCACAGTATGAGCTTTACAGTGTTGGTGTACATGAGCTAAACTCCAATAAAACAAACAAGTTATAAATGAGTTTTAAAGCTGCATGCCTCAAGATTAACCAAAATATTTCAAGATATTCAAACTTGAGAAAAAAGTACCAAGATTTTAAAGAAAGTAGATAAGTATTAATTTAATGTTATGCGCAATAAATGACTGATTTTGCAGGATTTACACCATAATTATTTCTACTGCGTTACTAACACATCAGGGCTATTTTTGCATATTTTGACCTCTTTTTGGTAATTTAAGTGGATTGTAAAGCATCATTTGCAATTTGTAAATGAACATCTTTGTTAATTTTACAATATTTGACTTTTAAATACATTTTCAAAATATTCATGAAAATTTGCATGAATCTGGAGGCATGCTGCATTAATGTCTTAATTACAAGCACAGTGTCTGGATCTGAAGCTATAGCAGTGATGGGCAAATAAATTGAAGATAGAAAGTTGGTCACTTTAACCACTTAACGAGGCTGCCAATACCTATTTATGGTCTATTTTTCATTTCTTTATTAAAATCTAAGCTCAAGGTCATATATATATCAGACTTAGTCCCTCTTATTATACTCCTGAAAAAATAACTGCAAATATTGTTTTGCGATTTGTATAGCCTAACTGTAGTCTGTTACTGTACTGCCTCCTTTTCATAGTCAGTACATATTTTCAAATTTTACCTAAAAACAATGAATGGTTTAGTTCTGAGTGAAAGATGGACAAGTCCATTTGAAATATTTAGGGTGGTAAGAGTAAATTTGTATATATTTCAGTGTAATATCATTGGAATGCTTTATTCACAAGATTTTCAACATATAACAGTGACCTCAAATACTTTGTCAAGTACCGGTACATTGTTGTTGTTGTTTTTATCATCATTATTGACTTGATTATATAAAAACTAAACTAAACTAAACTAAAACATAATCCAAACTACATTGGTAACTAAGCTAACAAGATTTGCTTCCCTTTTCCAATGCAAAATTTTTTTTTTTCCATATTAAGCCCTCAGCACTTATCTCCCTTGGAAATTTATCAAAATCTGAATTGCAAATATATCCATAACATTTTTCTATTTGTGAAAATTACCACATTTTTCTATTTGTGAAAACTACCAAAGTGTGACACTTATGCCTGGGTGAGTTCAACAGCTCTCCCTACTTTTCGAATAAATAAACTAAATACAATGTATCATCAGAAAGTCTCAGGGCTCTCATTAGCAATTTGAGACTTGGGCCAGGGTCCATGCAAGGGGCGAAATATTGCATGATTTTCAAATATTTTTCATTCAAGGGGGTTTTTTTTGGGGGGGGGGGTAAAACTTGAAATTAAGCGACATGTTGGAATGTTAAAAACTATCCGGAACGTTTTATTTATATAAACGCACTAATTTCCGATTGCCGTTCGCGGAAATCGTACTAATTTGTGGTTGCTGTTCGCGGAATATATATTCGCTGATCGGCGTTTTCTATGCCCGTTAAAAATTAATTTCATGGGATTTAAAGGGGGATTTTTTTCAGGTTTAGGGGGAAAAAAACACACTTTTTGGTGGGGGAATGGGGCCGATATTCAGCCCTAAATTTTACCAAACGAGAGCCCTGAATCTTAATTACCCAATTTTGAATTTCCTGCAACCAATGTTTGGTTTGGGGATTATATAAAATTGGTGATATATAAATGACTAAGTGTATGAGGTGTAGTAATGTACAAATGTACAAGCTATGTAAGATTACATACCACAAGAGTACTCCAGGATTCTTTCAGGCTGGACCCCAGCGGCATGAAATAACTGGTCCTTAAACTCTGTAATCTGTTAGGAAAAACAAGATATACACACACATTTATTAAAGATAAAGCAAGAAAAACAACAGATTGGCTTAGAAAAGGACAACAGAATAAATGTTCATTCATCCACGAAATTTAAAGTTGTCTGTGTATGATTTATAGGGTATATCAGTTTCCTTTACAATTCAGGGTAGACACAAATATAGATATTATGTATTAAAGACCAAGACATGTCCGTGGACAGAGCACCCCACTTTTCTCAGTGCTGAATAGTAAATAAAAGCAACATAGGAAAGAGGGCATAGTTCTGAAAACATGCTTAACAGACTTACCTGCCCTTGATTGTCAACAAACATTTTATTGAGTAGGTAGCAGGTAAACAAACAATACTTTAATTTAGGCTTCATTTTGCAGCAGTAGAGTGAATAGATTATAGCACCACAATAGTACAATAAAAATATACAGTATGATAACTTATATCTATGATAAAACTTACAGGTTGCATAGTTCCGCCAGCAACAATAACTGCCCTCGCCTCTTGTACTATACTAGTAAAATGTACCGCAGGATTTAACAACAGGAACTTTATACTGCACTGGCTAAATAACTCTGTAATGTATATGGTAATAATTTCAGTTTAATCCAATGAAAACTAAAAAAAATCATAACAGACCTAGTCCATATTCACATAATCTGACAAGACACTATACTGTTGGCAAGTTAATATTTTCATACTGAAATACCTTTAACAATATAATGTTAAGTTCCAAATTCAAAGTAGGACAAGTTCACTATAGAAATACAGATTAGGCAAACCATTATCTTAAAGGAGGTCCAAAAACCGAAGGCCTTAAAACATAAAATTTGAAAATGTTACACAGATAAATTTGGCAGAACTGCTGCATTAATGATAAATATCCCACCTGATCTCTTATGACAAATAGAAACCAGATCTGCTAAACATTTACCTAAAATGTCAGATAGTTAACTGTTTAGTCTGCTTACTCACTATCACTCAAACCCTTAAAGCATGTTGGTTGGTTAATAAAGATATATAAAGTGTAAAATATCTTACTTTTCTTTGTGATGACTATTCTACCGTCTTTGTCAGCATTTGTAAGAGATAGAAGAAAGCTTTCTATATGCATCAATGGTGAACTCATTACAAAATCACTCTTCTCTTCTACCTTCTCAACTGTCTCTGAAAATATACATCCTCCTTTAAAACAACAATATGATTTTATACAATACAATAAAAAATTGTCATAATGCAGTTATTTTCCCCCCTTTATTTTACAGCTATAAAACCGGTTGACAGTAGTTGTTATTACTATGATATACTTTATGAGGGGGAGCTGCATAAAGGCTGTTTCCCCAAGCCCAAAAAAAAAGGTATATTTCCCCTAAAAATGCTGTATTTTCCCTTTCAGAAAGCCAGGTAGGTTTCAAAATTGACGAAAAAAATCACTACCATATATATCCTGTAACAGACCTCATTAAAGAAAGTGTTTTTTTTTTAAAATCATTTGTGAGGAAGGCAACCATGCTATTATAATGAGTTTCATTCATATAATTGAGCTGCGTCATGACAAAACCAATGCAATGTGTTTGCGACCAGCATGGATCCACACCAGCCTGCGCACCTGCACAGTCTGATCAGGATCCATGCTGTTCGCTTACAAACCCTATTACAAGTACAGAAACTGATAGCAAACAGCATGATCCTGATCAGACTGCGTGGATGCGCAGGCTGGTCTGGATCCATGCTGGTCGCAAACGCACTATGTTGGTTTTGTCGTGAAGCGGCTAATATATTAATATGTATAACATTGTAATACAATCATGACTTTGCCAAACTACTCATGTCATATTACTCTGAAATTAGCAGATAAAATGTGACTGAAACAATTTTACAAGGTAATGCCATATTCATGAATGATGCACCGAAGCAACTTGAGTTACCATATAACAATTACATGCAATATATCTAATTGATATACAAGTTGAATGCATTGGGCTGGATTATTTTGTGACATAAACACTTTCAATGAACCACTGACTTTTCATAAAGTAGCTGGATAGCTTCTCACCTTGACTTGATTAGAACTCATTGCGAAGAGGGGCGAGTGATCTAAAGCCCTAGACATTAATCAATCAGCCACCAATAAAAAGCAAGCAAAACCATGAACAACATAAAAAGATGACTAGGGACAACATATTTATCATTCCATTCAGGACCATGATAGAAGTGAACGTCCCATTACATGTTAATAATACACACCTTTCTCAGCATTATCTCCTTTCCCACTGAGAGACTTCAAAAAACTGCTTAAACTTGATGTGCTGGTCTCATGTTTCTTCTCCTTCTCACCTTAAATTACATAAAATTATCTTAAAATATTATATGACTGTAGGCAGGAGAAGACGACTCTTCACACTTTCAAAATTATTTCAAAAGAAGTTTACTTTGACGTTGAAAATAGAATTAAGAGTGAATTATCTTTGAGATGTTGAAGATCAATATGTAATAAGTAAGGATACATGCATTTCCAAAATTTCATATTATTTCAAGAGCTAGAGACGTAAATATAGAAAGCCATTATAAAACAATTTAATAATTTTTTTTCCCATTATTAACGATTATGAAATGTGCCATTAAACTTACTTGCTACAACAATCTCTGGTCTGTACTTTTCAACAAATCCATGCAACTGTAAAACCAAACAAAAATCAAATGGTTGCTGCAAGCTCTGAGTAGATAAATAAACAAGTAAATACTTTATGACTCAGTTTACAATTATTCTGGTATTATTCAGAAACTAAACATAATCAAAAGAAATGAAAAATTCAAAAGTGATTTTTGTATCAATCAACAAGCATCCTTTCAAAGCAATACAGACCTCCTTGTTCATATCAACATCATACTAAATCTATTGTAAAGGATTGTTTAACATAACGCATTTTCTTTTCTTTTCTTTTTACATTGAACTGAAGACAAGAAAACTGTCTATATTTGAATACTTCAAAATTTGCAGGATTGTTACTAAGAATTGTACAATTTCATTGACAAATTAATGTTCTAGATTATGCAAGAAAGTCTGGTTCCTTGTCAAATATACCCTGATTATAACACAACTTTAAAGGGCAGGTAATCCAGATGACGCTATTTTTGGTCACATGACCTATGTTATGTTAAAACGGAGTAGCAAGCGTGATGTAACTTATGTGAAAAATTTGGCAATTACCAGGCGTATAACACAAATTTATGTCTGCATATGTTAATTATTTTCAACAATATTTACCTATGCTTATTCATTGTATAGAAAATATATCTAAACATACATAATATGGAATCGTTCAGTACATGTAAATCTCTATGTCACTCGGAAGGTATTTGTTTTATTTAGAGAACTATATTTACTGCACAACAATTCATGTAATTTGGGTATGCTCAGTCAAAATCATTTAGTGAGACTAAAAAAAGGATTGGAGCACCACACTAAGTACCGTATTCCGGTATATACCAGACAAGGCGCATGAATGATAAAATCTTGCCTTTTTACCCAACGGAATGAACTTTAATAGGTCTAATTCATCTTTGGTATGATGATGAATGAAAAATGTAAAATCAGCAAAAAAAAATGATATTTGTCTATTTTGTGACCATGATTTCTGCAAGCATATAGAGGTACTGCTCCAATCCTATATCGAGTTAAATCCAAAATCATTTGTAGTCTCAGAATCTCGGCATAATGGTAACTAAAGCGGCTTGAAGCAAAAGTGACGTATTAATATGAAAAGGCCTCAAATATTCAATCCCACAAAGTACAATGTACCACACATACAGACATTCACATTAATTTTGGTACTTCTATCATACAATTATTATTTGTAATCAATGAATTGACATTATAAAATCATTGATTCTGATATAACAGAACCAGCGGTGAGACTGACCTTGTTTTCCAGCTTTGAGCTAATAAAAAGGCCTGTCAATAGTGGGTGAGTGAATACCATACCTTTCTAGAAATCTGGCTCCTTTGACAATATCTAAGCACTTTAAACATGTTGACATTATCTAATTGGCTGTGGAACAAAAAGTCATTGATTGTCCAGAGTCGGGTCTCTGAAAAACAAAAAGAAGAAAGATAAACATATGAGGGGTTATCCAAAAATTTGTTGACTTATTAAATATCTCTTGAACGTCAACGTGTATTGTAATGAAATTTTATCAGCATGCATTTTAGAATATTATCAACACATTTTGAAAGGAACAGTTAATTGTGCCAATAAATAATGATTTCATATTGCTTTTAAATAAGCACATACACGGCACCCGGAGCACGGTAGAAAAGTGCAGTAAGTCATCGTATATTTCTTGCTAAAAAACTAAAAAATTAACGCATGTTTCTTCTATGATGTCATTTAAGTAATTCTTTAAAATAATGGACGTCATTTCCGTTTATTTTTGTTGATATCGCTAGAAACGACAGACGCCTTTATTGTTTACTACGGAAAAATGACGGACACGCGGTAATTAGAAAATCGTGAGATCATAAATTTTTGTTGTCATTTGGGAATGTCACCTACAAAAATATTTGATAAAAATCAGCAGACGAACAGAGAAAAGAAAATTTCATGATCATTAGTGTTAAAGAGCCATAAGAAATTTTGTGATGGACATTACTTTGAGAAGCAGTAACCGTCATTGACTGCGTAACATTGAAGCACAAGTTGTACGTTAGTATTATGACGTTGACGTCAATAAATTTTTGGAGTGCGCCGCTGTCGCCGACATGTGTTTATGTAAAATTAAATATTGTTGTAATGTAAGAAGCTACTCACATGATTTTTTCTGTGTTTATTTGTTATTAATTCTTCTAAGCAGTGTAAGAATTTCAAATTTATATCTAAAATATATTTTACGCAAGAAAGAAAGTCCACGAATTTTTGGATAACCCCTCGTATGTTTAATGAAGAAAAAGACATTGAAAATGAGTACACTATAACACAGATGTATGAAATAATAAAGTTCTTATAGTAACATACTAAAATGGACAGGATTTTTAAAATCATCTTTACAATGAGGGTACATTACATTTTGAAGCACTTTTTTGTTCATCTTAATGGTTCTAATTACTCTTAAAACTGTTAACAGAGATATCATCTTAAATATTAAGATATCATTTTTACTATGGACACATTATTTGAATTTTTTTATCCAATTTTCATGCAGTAATGGTAAAGAGTAACATAGCCCACCTCTTAATATGGAAATAAGTATGTTTCCTAACATCAAAGAAATATCATTTATATTTTCAAGAAACTCACACAATGTTAAGGTCTTATGTCCATTTAGATCAGTGGACATTAAGTGTCACTTCGTGTAATTTTTCAGACATATATAGTACCTTTCATCTGTCAAACTATCAATATAACTTGTTTGTATAAAAAACAAAATTCAATGTCCAAAACAAACAGAAGTAACAAAAAACTACTGAAGATTTAGATAATGAAGAACATATTTACCTGCAAATGGTACAGACTGTTTGTCAGGATGCTGGTCTGTCTTACCTGTAATTGTTACAGATATTGTGTATATATATATATGTAACACAATAGGAGGGGTATGTCTATGTCTTCATTTTTAATTTCATAACACAAGATGCAAACCCAACTCAATCCCGCCCCATTCAAGTTTCAAACGAATGAGCAGCATATTAAAGAATAAATGCAACAGAAACAGATTTCCTGACAAAGTAGTCAATTGAGGACGTATTTACATGTATATAAATCCAGATACGTGTGAACTGATACAATGTAACAGGATAAAAAATTTAAGTTTCTTATATTAATGTTTATCATTCAGAGTATAATGGCTATTTAATTTATTATATGTGAGTTTTCCAGAAATATGCAAGTTACTGTCGACTGTAGAGCATAAATTACATTTGAAAAAAAACCTCTTCAACCAAGTTGTAACAGGCAAGCACATGACACATAAAAGAACTCATATTAAAGACTACATAATGATCTTACTAACAAAGTTACCAAATTAAAATATGGCTTATTAACTTTCAAAAAAATTGCTGACCTTTTAAATCACTATACTTAATTGTTACTGATGCCTACCTCCAATACATTTGGTTAGATTTCCAAGTATAAACAGAATCTGTTTGATATACATTAGGTTCTGGGCTTTAAGTCGGGACCTGTACTTCCCCTCATACTGGCTCAGCTGACTGTGTGCTCGAACCAACTAAAAATAGAAATTTTATAGTAAAATACAGCGCATAGCATGCAAACCTTTAATTAGAATTAGTTCAAGATAAGATTTATGTCAAACTTGAAATATAGTTTTCTAGGCATCGATAAAGACATGGGCCAAAAACATACCCACATGATAAGCCTTTCTAGGATTGTGCAAATTACTAGTGCAATAGTTTGTTAAGTTCTTGAAGTTTGAAACACACTGCTAGACAACATTTTAAACTTTCAACATCAGAAATCTTATATATCATTATATGGCTTACAGCATCTTCATATATCTACATGCAGCAGTGAGCTGTTTGTCATCTTTACACCAATATAACATGCCATAGACACTTTGACATGACTTCCCATTCTAGTAATATATATCATACCAACACCAGAATGGCAAGTCCAAAAACAATACCCATAATGCTCAGTGTGAACTTGTTTTATCTGTTTTTAACATTTAGTCATCACTCCAACACATTTTTTCGTTCATATCTTGTCAGTCAGTCCACCTAACCAGCTTTCCTTGATAACTGACCAGTAATTATCAATTGCTCTGCAAGGGACCTTGTACTAATCTCATATGAATTCTGAATCAGTAGTGAGAGAAAAATGACCATTAGGCTCGATGTCCATGACCAACTGTTATGGGGAAATTTTGCCTCACCCATGGATTACAAATATGATGATCACCCTATTGAGATAAGTGGGTGAACTGCTCAGTATATACAAAACAGCTACTACAATCATGTTTATAATGATACTTGATATATTAAAGCTAGGGAAAGAACCTGAAACCATCCACTGATAAGCCTTAGGCTCTATCACCTGGCCACAATTGCAGTTTAGACAATATTGAAAGTACCTGGGCTCCAGTAATTTCCATGCTATATACATTGTTTATTGTCTCGAGTAGATTATGAGCCTCGTCTATGATAACTATATTATCCTTTAGTTGTATACCAGTGGCTTCTCGAGTTGATTTGTGTAGTAATGTGTTATATGGTAATGCAACTATCTGTCAAACACAGAAAAAACAAATTATCCTTTATAAAGGGTACCAAAAGCCAGAATAGACACACAAAAATTTTATACAAAATTATATGTTAAGGGGAAACAACAGATCACAGAGACACCATCTTGCACACAAACACTAACCAAAGTGTGATGGCAAAACTGATGCTGACACCAGTGCCAGTACAATAGTTATCCCCATTCTTCGAAAATCAAGCTAACTTTGGTGTCACAAAATTCAACATACTTTAGGACAGGGGTTGTGTTGTTGAAAGGTTAATAACGTTACCTAACTAACACCAGCTATGCTATGTGGTCTGTCTAATTCAAGTTAATAAACAATGTCAATATAAAAACAATTACAGAATACAGGTAAAGATTTGAATTTATAATTATTTTACTCTTTGATACAAGGATTTTAAGTTTATAAAATCTCACCTCTGAATCTGGTACAGCCAATCGTGTGCCATAATATGGACATGCCTTCATCTGTTTACCTAGCAACACAAGTTGTTCTATATCTCTCACATCTACCAGGGCAGAATCTTTGAAATCATGAATAGGGTCCTGCTTGTAGAAGGGGCATCCTTGACTACTACCTGTCTTTTTACGCTTCATTCCTGCCTTTTCTTTTTTCTCTACATCAAATAAAACATACTATATTCTTGTGCTCACTTTTTTAGTCAAATAAGTGTTATTCTATATAAAAGTGTTATGACCTTTTCCCCCCTGTGGCCAATATTTTTTGCTAAAATCAAAATTAATCAGCTAATATGAAAAATAAAATCCATTTCAAGTAAGACATAAAATAGAAATATCACATGAAATAATTTTCTCCATTTGCTTACTAAGAAGCAAAATGCTAAAATCTGGGGGGAAAAAAGACTTTGCATCACATTTTACATTTAAAAGTTTTAATATTGGGGGAAATACATAGAGATGCACCAGAAACACAGAAGATTTCTGTACCTGATTTCTTCTTCTGTAAATCTCTACATGTATCATTTATCAGACTGAGAGACTTCAATCTTTTTACTGCTTCATTCACACACAGATTCTGTAACAATAAAAGTAAATCATCAATAGCTCACCTAAGCTAAATGGGGAGAATTTAAGGCACTCACAGCTCTAATTCAGAATGACAGTCAATGACAGTAAGTTTTATGTAATTCAAAATTGGCACCTTGTCAGCATGGTTCGCACAGGTCAGTAAATATGAACAAATGTTAAACCCCCTCCCCACTACCCCACCCCAAGTCATAATGTCTATAGAGAAATTGAACTGCACTTGTTTATCATTGTGTGAACATGTACATGTATTACTTCTGTTATTATAATTGAGTACATTTTGAAAAATACCAAGCATTTTATCATGGAATCAATACAAGCTGCAATTTGTTAATGGATGACTGGCTAAGGGATGTCAAAAGAAAAATACATCAGTTTGAGTTAGGAAAAGCTAACAAGTATACCTTCTCTCTTCACTTGCGATTAATGATTTGGGCTAACATTATAACATGGCCACAAAATGAAACATTCATTATTTAAGACTATTCAAAAAAAAATAATAAAGAACATACAACATTCTCAGTTTTTATTTCACGACGCATCTGCTTATATAAAATTCACATGACACGATATATCAAATAATTGATCATTAAGTATTTATATAAGGCTGGCGTGTATTGGCCGCTCACTTATGGTAGGTTAAGGCTTAGATGCTCCTACCACAAGAAGTTATATCAATCGAAGGTGATCAGGCGTTATCAGCAAGTTGCAATACCAAAACTTTATAAACACAAAAATGCAATGCAAAGATTTGAAGCAAACCCAAGCTAAATAAAACTAATGCAACGCAATGGCTTTGAGCAACTCAAGCCAGCAAATAGCTACACACCAACGCATTACCTCTAGAGTCTATCCAACTACATGATCATAGATCTCAGCTCCCCACGGTAACGTAATGGAAACCACTACCAACGTGAAGAGAAGAAAAACTATGAACACGCAGTTAGACTTGTGAATGTGCGAAAGAGGTACTAATTACTGTGCCAAAATAACCTCAACAACTGCTATGCAATGCAACGCAATCTAAGTCTTACCAAGTACTATAAGGGCCAGACTTAGTGACTCGAAGCGACACGAGTCGACCTTAATTAGCAGTTTTAGAAGGTTATACCAAATGCAAATACTTAAACAGCAATACAGTACTGTACAGGCAATAACAACTCCTTGCATTGTATACGTAATTACATAAGAGTCCCAAGCACGGCCTTCCTCCCCTTCCGGTAACGTATCAAAATACCAACAGAAAGAGATAAAGACCGTGCTCACGACCACAATGAAGGCTAAGCTATTATTAAAACATTACCCTTTGAATTTGATACTTATTATTTAGCTTAATTTAACTGATCACCCCCGAATGACGGAAACTGAGCGACAATGATGAAATATATATAATGCAATCAACAAACTGTACTCAAAGTTCATAATTCTTTGTACAAATATGACGTAGACCGTAGACTGAAAAGTTCCGGAAATTAAACACATATTCTAGAAATATTGTCTATAACAACTGTTTATATTTTATTTACAATCACTGGTGCTAGCCAAAGTTCGCTCTGCAGGATAACGTTATGATATAACTGCTTCTGACAGAATTACAAAAACGCGCACAAAACTGCACACATACACAAGTTCTGATATTGTGAAGAGTTTCGCGAATGAGATCCAATTGTCAGTCAATATTTTGCTGTTTGACATCTTGAAGCGAAGACTCTTAGTTTGGTACAGCACCAGTCAGAACAACCATCATATTTCAAGCAAAAAGGCCTGCAATAGAAACTTAAAGCCGAAAAATCTTGTAACAAAACAACCAGCATTAACATGGTAAAATATGTACAAATTCTTATTTGAGGTATTTATTAAATAATATGGCAGCACAATTAATAACCTCATTGGGTGTGGCGGGCGGGCAATTTTAAATCTCTCAACGTTGTTGTCGTGTCGACTATAGCTAGCTAACTGAGAATGTTGTACTGGGAATGTTGCACGGGATTTTCGTGCAACGCGTAAACCCATCTAATGAAATTATACCTATTCTATGCGCTAACTATAACGGGAACCTGACTTATAAAATAAGCGAAACGTTACAATGTAACGGAAGGAAACAATTTATTTCTCAAGCTAAATAAAGGAAATTATTTTCATATAAATAATTTATATTATTTAAGACTATTCAAAAAAAATAATAAAGAACATACAACATTCTCAGTTTTTATTTCACGACGCATCTGCTTATATAAAATTCACATGACACGATATATCAAATAATTGATCATTAAGTATTTATATAAGGCTGGCGTGTATTGGCCGCTCACTTATGGTAGGTTAAGGCTTAGATGCTCCTACCACAAGAAGTTATATCAATCGAAGGTGATCAGGCGTTATCAGCAAGTTGCAATACCAAAACTTTATAAACACAAAAATGCAATGCAAAGATTTGAAGCAAACCCAAGCTAAATAAAACTAATGCAACGCAATGGCTTTGAGCAACTCAAGCCAGCAAATAGCTACACACCAACGCATTACCTCTAGAGTCTATCCAACTACATGATCATAGATCTCAGCTCCCCACGGTAACGTAATGGAAACCACTACCAACGTGAAGAGAAGAAAAACTATGAACACGCAGTTAGACTTGTGAATGTGCGAAAGAGGTACTAATTAATGTGCCAAAATAACCTCAACAACTGCTATTTAAAGAACTGTACGCCTGATCATCCCTCAATAGATATAATTTTAGCCACAATAAATTTTAATTTATCCCCCAAATTATAGCGAGTATTACATGTTTTTAATAATTGATTCCTTTAAATGGAAAAGGTAAAATTCCAAGCCAACGGCATTTAAATGTACCCCGTCATCACGGAAAAAATTTGTTTCCGTGTCAATGTCAGGGGAGATAGTATCACTTTTCCCCGACAGTTTAACAATTTGTCTGCCCTGACGATTAACCCTTTTCCGCTTTGATTCAATTGGTTTCAAAGTAAGAGCCCCTCTCCAGACCCTCCTTGGTAATATGTCAACCCAAATAAGTGTCGTCTGTGGAAAAGCATCACGGAGGTAAGTAATGTCTGATTCAATAACCTTTTTTAGTTTGATTAGAGAAATAGATGTTAAATCATTACCACCTAAATGTATGATGATGATCGAAGGTGGTGATGAAAGTAGGACTTGTGTTTGTATTGAATGCCTAAAATCTGCCCATTTTAGACCTCTTACACCCCACCATGCTACAGTCTTGCCCTGTATTCTTAGGTTGGGCTTTGCTGTTGTCACGGCTCGTACTCCTGCCCAATAAGGTATTGAGTCACCGACCACCCAGACGTCAGCATTATCTTGCAAGAATCTGCTGTCCATTCCGACGTCTTCCGACTCTGGTCTGCTCAAGCCACGTGCTTCCACGTGTTCCGCTTCTGCGCCATTCGCTTCATCTGCATTTCGTTTGCGCCCCCTTGTAACAGGTCTATCATTTGTAGGCCGCTCCTGATTCACAACTCTGCCCTGACTCGCCGCTCCTCTACGACCCATAGCTCTCCTTACGCCTCTACCTCGTGGCATTGCTGATATTTTAAATTTATTTTAGCTGTCAATTTTAAATCTCTCAACGTTGTTGTCGTGTCGACTATAGCTAGCTAACTGAGAATGTTGTACTGGGAATGTTGCACGGGATTTTCGTGCAACGCGTTAACCCATCTAATGAAATTATACCTATTCTATGCGCTAACTATAACGGGAACCTGACTTATAAAATAAGCGAAACGTTACAATGTAACGGAAGGAAACAATTTATTTCTCAAGCTAAATAAAGGAAATTATTTTCATATAAATAATTTATATTATATTTCTGACAACTTTTACCAGAAGAGTTTTCAAAAATCTAATTAAAACAATCCTAACTGGTTATGTTTTTAAAATTTTACAGAATGACAATGACTAAGAGTGGTATAAACTTCACTCCCAAAAGACAGGAAAAAGCCCACATAAGAAAACTGAGATTATTCCATGTCCAAAATTTACCTGTCTTGAACCAAGCGAAATCACTCTGGTATCATCCCCATATGGTGACTTGATGACTTCCTTTACAAACTGTGACAACTGGGAATGTGTTCTGCTACAAAAATAGATCTGAAAGAATATGTACATTTCTTGTAAAGAGAAACAAAAGGGCCATGATGGCCCTGAAGTCGCTCACCTGTATATAGGCCCCCGTAGCAGGGCCAGTTTTAACCCCAGGGCTTTTATTTGAACAAACTTGGTAGACACCCATTAGAAGATGTTTCATGCTTAACATCTAAGGTCTAGCTGGTCAAGTTTTTTCTTTACACATATAGTTAAAAACAATGACACATCTGGGGCAGGGCCAGTTTGGACCCAAGGGCTTTTATTTAAACAATCTTTGTAGACACTTACTAGAAAATGTTCATGCTTAATATCTGAACTCTAGCTATTTGGATTTTTCGAGGAAGATTTTTAAGTTTTTGCTGTACTCATATAAGGAAAATCAATGACCCCCGGGATGAGGCAAATTTTGACCCCAGGGCTTTAATTTGAACAAACTTTGTAGACAATTACTTGAAGATGTTTCATGCTTTATATCTAAACTCTAGCTATTTGGGTTTTTTCAAAGAAGATTTTTAAGTTTTTGCTATACACATATAAAGGAAAATTAATGTCCCCTGGGGTGGGGCCAATTTTAACCCTTGGGCTTTTATTTGAACAAACTTGGTAGACACTCACTAGAAGATGCTTTGTGCTTTATATCTAAACTCTAGCTATTTGAGTTTTTTCAATGAAGATTTTTTAAGTTTTTCCTTTACACATATAAGGTAAATCAATGATCCCTGGGGCGGGGCCAATTTTGACCCCAGGGCTCTTATTTGAACAAACTTGGTAGACATCCATTAGAACATGATTCATGCTGAATATCTTAGCTCTAGCTCTTTGGGATCTCTAAAAGAAGATTTTTAAGTTTTTACTATATGCATATAGGGAAAATCAATGACCCCCTTGGGCCGGGCTAATTTTGACCCCATGGCTTTTATTTGAACAAACTTGGTAGACACCCATTAAAACATGTTTCATGCTAAATTTCTTAGCTCTAGCTCTTTGGGTTCTTTAAAAGAAGAATTTTTAAGTTTTTACTATATGCATATAGAGAAAATCAATGACCCCCTGGGCCCGGGCCAATTTTGACCCCAGGGCTTTTATTTGAACAAACTTGGTAGACACTTACTAGAAGATGTTTCATGCCAAATATCTAAGCTCTAGCTATTTGGGTTGTTACGAAGAAAATATCTAAAGTTTTTTCTTTTGGTTGCCATGGCAACCAGAGTTCTGCATGGAATTAAATTCTTTGAACAATTTTCAAAGGTGACCACCAAAGGAACATTCCTGTGAAGTTTGGATGAAATTGGCTTAGTGGTTTATGAGGAGATGTCATTTAAAGTAAAAGTTTACGGACGCTGGACGGACGGATGACGGCCAGACGCCGGACGAAAAGCGATCACAAAAGCTCACCCTGTCACTTTGTGACAGGTGAGCTAAAAAGACAAAGATTCTAATCTTGTGATATCATCCAAGAAACTTTCATAAAAATAGACATTGTCAAATTTCACTTAACAAAAATTAAGGGTTTATGGGAAAGTGGTTAAGGTTTACGACTAAGTATTCTACAGAAGACTTTAAAATCTTTCATATGAGAAAACTATACCTTCAGTTTATGGAAGGTTAATGGTTTTACTAGTGTCTGAAATAATGCTTAGAGGGATATGTAAAGTTTTCCCCACACACATGTGCCAGGTATCTAAGGTGAAAAAGAATTAATAAAGATTGCCAAACTTTTAACCTGGATAATTCTTAAAGTCAGACAAGTTGTACATTATCCAACTATCAAACATTAGAATTAATGATCCCCAAACCACCTCACTTCACTTTGAAAGCCAGAGCTCATCTAACACTGTACCAGAAATATATTCTTACTTTTGTACAGTGAACATCAGTCTCATCATCGTCTTCATCATCAGAATCCTTATCATCACCAGCATCATCACTATGATATTCATCAAGAACCAGATTATCATCATCATCATCATGGATATCACCCGATTCTTGCACAAGTTTCTCTATCTCCTGTTTGTAAGCATCTTTAATATCACTTGACGCTGTTTTTAACAGGTCATCAAAGTCATCTTCCAGCTGAACTCTCTAATGGAGAATATAAGAAACAAACATAATATATTATATAATATTCCATATTGACTAAGTAACAGACATGGTTTTTTATTACATGCTTTTCAGTGGTTTATAGAAATATATCAGTGATATAAAACTGGTAATTTCACTGTTTGAAACAGTGAAATTACCACTTTGATAATTTCACTGTTTTGAATTTAAGCCCCTTACATTGTTTCAGTGAAATACCAGCGTGCACAATACTGGGAACCAACTTAATGACGTGACGTCGTAAATGACGTCACGTTGTATTATTTTTTCTTGTGAACACCAAAAGTTCATATTTCACTCGTGGCTGCGCCACTCGTGAAATATACCTTTTGGTGCTCACTCGGTGAAATATATTCCGATCTTACACTGAACTAAACAAATATCCTCTATATCATTTTACAGTAGAAAATCTATTTTTAGCATCAGTGACCTTGTTCCAATTAACATGAAACACAACCCCAATGGTAGAATTCCATGAAACGTATAGCCATGATAAATATTTAAGATATCAGTAAATAAAAGAAGATCCAGAAGTGTGAATGAGGTATGAAATGAAAAACAGAAGGCAGACAAACAGAAATTACACCACTTTCCTGAACCTACACTAAACAAGCTGTATCGCTAAAAGAAATGGATGCTCTTCAAACCAGCAGTTTTGTCAATGTATCTCAATGCAAAATATGGTGTTCAAAAGTGTATAAATATGATTTTTACAAAATCCACCCAAAGACAGAGGACCATCCAAGGTATCTACTTACCAATTATGTAAGCTATTGGTCAATAAATGAAGATAATAAGAGAAGCTGTAGAATGGGCAATAAAACACATGACATGGGAGGATAAAGCAGTGACTTTATGCTCTCTGAATTTGTCAGTAAGAATAATAAAAGAAATGGCAAATTGTTCAATGAAACCGGAGCTTTGTGTTTTTAAGAGCATATTGTGAATACTTCCACATACATTCAGACAAAACTTCGTAAAAGGTGAAATCAGTTACATGACTTTTAACATATTTGGGATAAAAAGAGAATTACTCTTGACAAATTGACATCTGCAATTCTTGCGGTAAGTTAGTTTGATTAAATACTTTGTTTAGTCCTATAGTTACCTTTCTTTTTGATACTTTTCTTGTCTTCTTTATTTCAGAAAGTTTTGCCTCCCTCTTCATTCTTTGTTCTATTTCTTCCTGCATAGTTACAATACTCATAATTAGTTTAAATACAATTTACTTTTTTGTAAATAAAGAAACTTTCTATACAACTATATATTCATAAAAGAAATAGTTCAATCAAGATTTGAAGAAGCATTATTCAATAACAGAACTTTTTTCTGAGTGAACAAAGTTTGTCCATTAATAATTGTTTTTAAATAATTCACATAACAAATAACAGAACAATTGTAAATTCCTAGACAGAATATATGTTTGTTAAATTTGAAATTACATGTCATCTTAACATCTTACTTTAACTTTCTTTGTTTTCTCTTCTGTTTCCTGTTTGGCCTTGAAGTCTGAGATCCAGTCAAGCTCTGCAAGGTCAAGGTTCAAGTGAAATATAACTACAGCTGTCACTGGAGTGACAAATAACCCAAATTTCTCATTGACATAAAATTTCATGTAGGCTGTATTAAAGTCTTAAAATAAATATAGGATTTCTAGAGGCCACGATGGAGACAGGACATACTTAGGGGGCTACTCAGTGTCTTGTCCTCTCTATTGTTCTTCAGTCACAAAACAATAGCCATGTAAATGCCTATATAATGAATAACATCAAAGAGAAAGTACAGCTACCTATTGTTCCTGTAGCCACCCTAGTATCCCAACGCAAGCACACAGAGGCAGACTGACCGACACTACAAAGTGACCATTGCTTAAAACACACAACCTTATTTAAATACAACACATTATTTTCATTTTTCAACTTAACAAAGCAATGTATTTTATAACATACAATACCTCCTGTGTCTTTGCTGACATTTGAGTCACTGAAAAAGAAATTTTCAACATCTTATTAAACTTATCATAAATCAAACTGGTACAGTATGTAAATTTCATGGCCACTTGCAATATCAAAGAGATCAAATGATTGACACTTTACAAATGACAATGCATTTACAAATGTTTAGAAATTAATCTTTAAGGTTATCTTGTGGTCAATCATATTACAATCTGTTAAACAAGAGGGCCATGATGGCCCTAGATCGCTCACCTGACTTATCAAACTCATCCAAACAATTACCTAGACAAGCATTCTGACCAAGTCTCATGACAGGTGAGTCAAAAATGTGACCACTACAGTGTTAACAAGGATTATCCATATTTGAGCAGTGCGACCTAGTTTTTTACCCAGGTGACTCATATTCAAACTTGACCTAGAAATCATCAAAACAAACTTTCAGACCAATTTCCAGGATACATGGATCAAAACAGTAGCAACTAGAGTGTTAACAATATTTTTCTATTTTTAGCTCCGGTGACCTAGTTTCACATGCGATTTTGAACTCATCCAAGCAATTACCTAGACAAGCATCCTGACCAAGTTTGATGATAATTGAGTCGAAAATGTGACCACTAGAATGTTAACAAGGTTTTTCCATATTTGGGCGGTGTGACCTAGTTTTTCATCCAAGATGACCCATGTTCGATCTTGACTTAGAAATCATCAAAACAAACTTTCAGACCAATTAACAACTTATATTTGGATCACAACAGTAGCCACTAGAGTGTTAACAAGATTTTTCTATTTTTAGCTCCTGTGACCTAGTTTTCATCCGAGATGACCCATGTTCGATTTATTCCCAGCAATGACCTAGACAAGTTTCCTGACCAAGTTTGATGACAATTGAGTCAAAATTGTGACCACTAGAGTGTTAACAGGGTTTTTCTATTTTTAGATCCTGTGACCTAGTTTTTCATCCGTGATGACCCATGTTTGAACTCATCCGAGCTATCACCTAGTCAAGCATCTTGATCAAGTTTGATGATGATTGATGCAAAAATGTGACCGCTAGAGTGTTAACAAGGTTTTTCTATTTTTAGCTCCGGTTACCTACTTTTTCATCCGATATGACCCATGTTCAAACTCATCCGAGCTATCACCTAGATGTCGTAGGGCGAATTGTAAAATAAAAGAGTTATGTGTTTGAGTTGATAAATAAATTAAATAGATAAATAATTGAATAAATCATGCGTGTTGTTTTTATTTTTTATTCCCCTTATTATTACTATTGTCAAAACAGTCCTATAAACCTTTCCTGTATACCTATACAGTAGCCGAATTATCTTTCCAATCTATACTTTTTCTTTCTTCATAACCTATTACATAATAATAAGTCACTTTCTATCTAACCTGTGACCCGTTTACATTGTACACGAATGCAATGCTTCATTGCATTCACCATTAACAGTTTATTATATATAGACGTACATTGTAAACTTTTCAATAAATATTGTTATATATCTTTGATATATCTTTTTACTTCACAGTTTCCAATCCATTCCAAAGGACCCATGATTGTCCATCAAGTATTATAAATGTTGTTTTCGCGGACAGCTTATCAGCTGCGGCAGTAATATAAGCTCTACCGACGAGTGAACCCGTGACATAGACAAACATCCTGACCAAGTTTAATGATGATTGAGGCAAAATTGTGACCTCTAGAGTGTTTACATGGTTTTTCTATTTTTAGCTCTGGTGACCTAGTTTTTCATCCAAGATGACCCATGTTTGAACTCATCCGAGCTATCAACTAGACAAGCATCTTGACCAAGTTTGATGATGACTGATGCAAAAATGTGACCGCTAGAGTGTTAACAAGGTTTTCCTATTTTTAGCTATGGTGACCTACTTTTTCATCCGAGATGACCCATGTTCGAACTCATCAGAGCTATCACCTAGACATGCGTCTTGATCAAGTTTGATGATGATTGATGCAAAAATGTGTCCGCTAAAGTGTTAACAAGGTTTTTCTATTTTTAGCTCCGGTGACCTACTTTTTCATCCGAGATGACCCATGTTCAAACTCATCCGAGCTATCAACTAGGTAAGCATCCTGATCAAGTTTGATGATGATTGATGCAAAAATGTGACCGCTAGAGTGTTAACAAGGTTTTTCTATTTTTAGCTCCGGTGACCTACTTTTTCATCCGAGATGACCCATGTTCGAACTCATCCAACTATCACCTACACATGCGTCTTGATCAAGTTTGATGATGATTGATGCAAAAATGTGTCCGCTAGAGTGTTAACAAGGTTTTTCTATTTTTAGCTCCGGTGACCTACTTTTTCATCCGAGATGAACCATGTTCAAACTCATCCGAGCTATCAACTAGGTAAGCATCCTGACCAAGTTTGATGATGATTGATGCAAAAATGTGACCGCTAGAGTGTTAACAAAGTTTTTCTTTTTTTAGCTCTTGTGACCTAGTTTTTCATCCGAGATGACCCATGTTCGAACTCATCCGAGCTATCACCTAGACAAGCAACTTGAACAAGTTTGATGATGATTGATGCAAAAATGTGACCGCTAGAGTGTTAACAAGGTTTTTCTATTTTTAGCTCTGGTGACCTACTTTTTCATCCGAGATGACCCATGTTCGAACTCATCCGAGCTATCAACTAGATAAGCATCCTGACCAAGTTTGATGATGATTGATGCAAAAATGTGACCGCTCGAGTGTTAACAAGGTTTTTTTATTTTTAGCTCCGGTGACCTACTTTTTCATCCGAGATGACCCATATTCGAACTCATCCGAGCTATCACCTAGACAAACATCCTGACCAAGTTTGATGATGATTCAGGCAAAAATGTGACCTCTAGAGTGTTAACAAGTTTTTTCTATTTTTAGCTCTTGTGACCTAGTTTCTCATCCTAGATGACCCATGTTCGAACTCATCCGAGCTATCAACTAGATAAGCATCCTGACCAAGTTTGATGATGATTGAGGCAAAAATGTGACCTGTAGAGTGTTAACAAGATTTTTCTATTTTTAGCTCTTGTGACCTAGTTTTTCATCCGAGATGACCCATGTTCGAACTCATCCGAGCTATCAACTAGACAAGCATCCTGACCAAGTTTGATGATGATTAAGGCAAAAATGCAACTGCTAGAGTGTTAACAACTAAATGTGAACGGACGACGGACGGACGACGGACAATCATCGATCCTAAAAACTCACCCTGAGCATGCTCAGGTGAGCTAAAAAAACCTCTGATACTAGAGTATCATATATTATACAAGACATGTAGATCAAAGGCTCTTTCTTACAAGATGAAGGTACCATGTAAAAAGATGCCCAAAAACAGGGTTTAAAACCATTTTAATGTCTTTTTTGCAATTTAGTCATACTAATGTAAAATTACCAGTTTTCTTTATTTTCTGCAGAAATCATTTCTTCCAGTTCAAGTTTCTGTCTTTCTTGAAAATCTTTTAGCCACCTGAGTGCACCACAGATCAGACTTAAAGACTTGCCCTGAAATTTCATATGTAAAAGAAAAATAAAAGTTTTACTGTGTATTTTGATTTTACTTACCCTGAAAAAAAATTATTAATACTTTTTATATAAATTCCAAATGTGACTTTAAGACTTGAAGCCTGAACATTTGGGAAATTAATACTTTTCCACTGGGGAAGTGTCATAAAATCATTCACTTGGGAGACACAGTACCTTACAAAATATGTATAATACACTTTGTCAAATTTGATATTCATAACGTTCATTGTTAATGTTGAAGACAATGAATTTAAAGCATCATTAAGTATATAGTCTAGTACATGTATGCACAAGCTAGCCCTGCCTTATAAAGGTGTCATTGGTAAGTTCATATTGCAGCTGGTATTCAGGGGGTTTAATGATGAAAGCAACATACCGTTCCAGTGGGACTTTCAAATATGCCGACCCTGCCCTGCTCCAGACATGTGTACAACTCACGCATGAATCCTTCCTGTATATCATACGGTTTGAATGGGAACGGAAACGCTTCAGGTAGATTGACCGGCCTGGATGAATATTCTGTGGAAACTAGAATGATCATTTTAACATTAAATAATATGAAAATTTTGATATCACAAAAAAACTTAACATCCTGAAAGATCAAATTTAATATTAAGATGAAATATTATAATACAAGTTCAAACTGTAATATGCGCAAATAAATACAGTTTTGTTCTCTTTTCAAATATAATAAAGTATTCAAAAACTATTCATCATAAAGTACTTTGTTTTAACACCACAGTAGGACTTAAGAAATGTTATGCAAGATCCATTTTTTCATTTTTTTTTTTCACAAATAAATTTTCTCATTTACAAAACCTAATGTAAATTAAAAGAACATCCATAAATCTAATTTTCAATTATCAACACAAGCCATGTTAGTACAAAAAATAGATAATGCTGATGCTTTGACAGTAATCCAGAAAAGACCTTTGACCTGTTGAATAATGCATACATTTGTGTCTTCAATATTTACATTCATCATTTGTGAAGGATTTATAGATCTAGCATTAAGTTTGTAAGAAAATTAGATTAATTGTCTTCAGTAGTTCTAAACTTTAAGTTTTAAGTCTTAAAAGGTTTTTAGTTAGGAATTCTGTTTTTCTCTATAAATTCAGTTAATGCAACAATGGGCAATGAAAAGTTCTACCTTTAAGGCCTTGGTTTCCTGTCAGTGTATTATCCATTACAAGGCTTGAGAGCAGATCATCACCTTCTTCATCAAAATCATCCATTACTAGTCAATGGTTCTACTTTACAGTCTTTAGCATGTAATCTGAATAAACGAGTCTCTGAAAAATAAAATAAAGATAACTGAAAAAAGTTACGTTTTCATACACACAAGATGTCTTGAGGGAAAATATGAAGATACTTGATCCTCATGGATCCCAACATGTTAACCCCAAAAATTTATCATATGCAGGGATCTTTGCCAGCATATACAATGTACTTGAGTTGTAACTACAAAAATCATTTAATTTTGCAACTTTTCAAAGATAAAACAAGTGATATTCATGCAAAATTAAAACTCAAATCTGAATTCAGATTTAAGAAACAAAATCTTTATATTCTAAGACCCTCTCAGCACACACAAAAATATCTACCTCGATGTATTGCAATGCCGTCTAGTCCAACTAATTTTACTGCGCGATGAGATATTGTGCTATTTTCGTGTCTGGGCAATATCTTGTCTCTACATTTCACCATAGATTGATAGAAAGCACGAAAAATATCTCAGAATCTAGCTTTGGCACATCAACATATTTTGACTGATCCGGATATTCAAAGTACGCATGCTAGGTTCCCGCTGGTACCCAGCTTCGCTCAATCTTTAATATGCGAAAAGGGGTACGCATCAGGTACATCCGGGTCAGCATTTGTATACATGTAATGTCAGGAAATTTAAAAAGTTAGTGCAAATAACTACTAAAAGTGCATACCTACAGACGTTTTGGATTAACTTTGGACGGTCAGCGATAGTATTATAGCTGCCTTTTCTGTTTCAACTGTTTACATGCACTGACATTAGTTTGTTATTAAGAAAAAGATCGATTTATGTTCAAAATCGTCTACTTTCGGCTCAGTCCAGCGATGGCCGACCTAGACAAAAAAGTGCATTTTCGCTTTAAAATTCCACCTTTTGTCTTACCAACTGGTCTAATATTGTACATTTTTCGAAAGAGAAATCATTTCTGCGTAGATTGCACTTTATTTGGTGAAAATTGGTTGACAATTAACAAAGATCTGGGAGGTAACATAAGGCCTGGTGGTAGGTCCGCTGGCGAACCTTTCTACCTTTACTATATTTATAGTATATATGGATGAAATTTTTAAAAACAAATTTCCTTTGTTGATTTATTGAAAATAAGATATTTTAAAAACATTTTGAGTGAAAAAATATTTTATTAGTGAAAAAAAATATTTATAAAAAATATGTGGGCGTGGTCATGTACATGCATACTATCCAAGCCATGCACCGATTGCCTGTGATCTGATATATTGGACCTGGGACGGAAGAAGGTATCTATCCAGAAATAGACTAGGTGTTTAGATCATGCAGTCTACAAGTTCATATTATCTTTTGTTTTCTTTTCTTCATTCTTATATGGTAAAAGGTTTAACAAGATTTATGATCAAGACAGATACCACATTTGTGTTAAAATGTTAAGTTTTTATTGATTTTATACAGGTGGTGTGTGTTCAAGTCGGGGAATGATGTCTGGCTGCGAAGTTATTGTACAATGGGTATGAAACAATTCGAGGGCGAATCGGGGTCGAATAAGCAACATCAAAATGATATGATGAAATTATGTAAATTATTTGCATTTATTTACGTACGATTTTAATTCAAATCACCAGAATCAATATTAATATAACAATTAATGTATGGAGTAATTTAAACGTCTGTGATTTGTTTCAATTGTTGGTAAAAAATAATTTTTCCGAATAAATTTCCCGCAAAATAATTCATTCGGAAGACCTCGCCGATTCACGTAATAATATATTAACCCAACGAAATGAAATGAACGAATATATAAATAATAGAATTCATATTGGCAAAATCATTTTAGTGTGAAACAAATGTAAGTAATCCGTGTGTCCAATGGAATACCTATAAATGTCGTTCAGACTGTATTTGTAAAGTTAAATGTAGGCTTTTTATAATTAAGGCTGTTCGGTTTTTGTTCTTTCATGAACATTTTTGTTTCAGTTATCATTAAACATAGGCCCACTAGTCATCGCAATCTTTTGAAACATATTACCAATGCCACTCAAATTGACAGCAAAAGAAAAAAACAACGAGCATAGGTAACAATGCCTTATATCATGGCCTAAAGGGGGTAAGATGACCAGACCAACGGTGATAGGCCTTTCTAGTCCTTTTAAACTTAAAACCAAGGCCAGTCCCAGGGAAGGCAGTCCACAACAGGACTTCAAATGAGTTTTGGAAGCAATAAAATCCAAGAAAATAACCTCACGTACCACAGTAAAGCTCACACAAATTACGATGATAGGCCTTTTTTCGGGGTTCTTGTCGAATAAAACGGAAGGTTGTAGGCTCAGGGAACACATCAATGCTCACACAATCCACTGTGATAGGTCTTTCAGGAGGTACTTAATTGTTGCAACTAAACCCACGTTGATCGCCTCATGGTACACAGTAAAGCTCAAAAGAACTCCCCGCTGTGATTGGACTTTTAGGGGGTGCAGATGGCCATAAAACCCGCGGTGATAGCCTCAAGTTAAAAAGTTTACCTAACACCACTACGTACTGTGATAGACATTGTATCTTGTCGCAAAAGATCCCAACGATGATAACCTCAGGGAATACAGTCAAGCTCGCACAAATCACGGTGATAGGCCTCTTTTCGGGGTTCTTGTCGCAACAAAACGTAAGTTGGATCACATTCAAGCTCATTCAAGCTCACACAAATTAAGGTGATAGGCCTTTTAGGGGATCTAGTCAGAATAAAATACAAGGTGATAGCCTCTTGGAATAAAGTCAAGCTCAAGCAACCCACGGTGATACGCCTTTGAGGGCGTTTTGGTTACCATAAAACCAAGGGTGATAGCCTCGATAGCATATTGAAACAGAATCAAGCTCATATAACCCAAGGTGATAGCCCTTTTAGTGGTTTTTCAGCGCAACAAAACCCAAGGTGACAGCCTCAGTGAACAGACTAGAGTTCAAGCAATCCACGGCGATATGCCTTTTGGGGGTTATGGCCGCAATCAAAACTAAAGGTGATAACCTCAGGGAACACAGTCAAGCTCAGACAACCGGCGGTTAAAGGTGTTTTATGGGGTTTTGGTCGCGAAAAAGTCAACATGGAGCCTCGGGGAACACAGTGAACATACACAACCTACTATGATAGGCCTTTAAGGTTTTTTTGTCACAATTAAACGCACGGCGATAGTATAAAGAAACAAAGTTGAGCTCGGACAACCACGGTGATAGGCCATTAAGGAGCTTTTTGGTCGCAATTAACCCATTGTTATAACCTCAGGGAACACAGTCAAGCCCAAAAAAAACCTCAATATGATATGCCTTTAAGAAGGTTCTGGTCGCAATAAATCCCACGGTGATAGTCTCAGAGAAAACAGTCAAGCTGACATAAACGAGGCCTTTTATGGGTTCTTAGAGCAATAAAACTCTAGGTGAAAGTCTTAGGGGGGCACAATTAAGGTCACCAATCCAACGGTGATACGCCTCTTAGAGGATTGGGGTTATAACCTCAGGGAGCACATTCAAGTTCACATAACCCACGGTGGTAAACTTTTAAGGCTTTTTTTGTCGCAAGAAAACCTAATTGATGGCCTCAAGGTACAGAGTCAAGCTCACAAAACCCACGGTTGGAGGCCGTATGGGGGTTCTCGACTCAATAAATCCCATGATGATAGCCTCAGGAAACACAGTCCAGCTCACACAACCCACGGTGATAGGTCTTATTAGGGGTTCTGTTTCGCAATAAAACTGACGGAAACCGACGGTGATAGCCTCAAAGAACACAGTAATGCTCATACAATTCATGGGGAAAAGCCTTTAGTGGGTTCGTGATGCACTTAAACGCACATTAATAGCCTCAAGAAACACAGTCAAGCTAGCACAACTTATGGTGATAGGTCTTTTAGAGGATTCTTGTCTCACTCAATAAACCCTACGGTGATAGCCTCAGGGAGCACAGTCATTCAACTAACGATGATATTCTTTTTTGTAGATCTATTCGCAATATAACCCACGGTGCATTCCTCAGGGAACACAGTCAATCTCACACAAACCATGGTGATAGGCCGCTAAGGGGATTCTTGTAGCAATAGTACCCATGGTGATAGCCTCGTAGAATACAGTCAAGCTCACACGGTGATATGTCTTTAAGGAGGTTTTGGTCGCAATAAAACCAACGGTGACAGCTTTATGGAACACAGTCAATCTATATTCTACTAGTCTCTCATTTTTGATACGATCAATCTCTGTTTCTGGCACAGAAATGCAACTTAAAGCTTTGAAATTCAACCTTATTTTTATCTAAAATATCCACAACATTTTGCACACACTTTGTCTATTAGTTCAGACGTGGAGACATATTGTATTTCTTTTGTTTCACTTTCGTAACTCATCCGCCAGCTATAACAACCAAGTGGAGTTGCCTTTGGAGTACTACGTAGTTTAGTATTTTCCTCTCTCATATTTGTATTTTCAGCCATCTTGATATTTGTAATTGTCTATGTACACGGTACGGCAGTCCGTCATCGTTTAAGTATTTTTATGGTACTGAATTCCAATTGGCGTCCGCGCCGAAGCGCGGCGCCTCTTATGGTTTGTGAAAGGGCGACAGCAACTTCTCGAGCTTTTAAGTCGGTCATAATAAAAGCCGATCATTCCGATCGGTATGGGGGTGCTTGATTATTAATTAAAAATGAAATGTCGCGATATGTACAATGAATAGGGAACTGGAGAATTTCGCAATGCAAACATTTTCAAATGAAATAACCTTTTCCGTCAATAAATCGCGTTCTTCGGGGTTTTTTATTTATCATTTTGTAGTACACAGTGGGTTATTATGGTATGTTATTGTTGTACATGTATCCGAAAGCTGTACATAGAATGATTGATGTCATATAGTCAATAGTTGATGACCTAAACATTATGAAAGTCTGAAAATCAATTTATAGAGGGATGTACTCCTATCGGTAATTCCCGGTTTTTCCCGGTCTATTTTGACTGGGATTTACTAGTGACCGGCGAATAGTATCACACGTTTATTGTCCGGTCTCTCCCGGTTTTGGAGTAGATGTTTGATATCGTTACAGAACAGAACAAATATTTTACAGATAAATAAGCTTTTTTCCAAACTGAATGTGTGTCACTTAGTTTGGTTACAATAATTAATTATCTGTAAAATATTTGTTCTGTTCTGTAACGATATCAAACATCTACTCCAGGGGGTCTTCGCTAATAGCGATAACATAATAAGGGACAATTACACTTAATAATCACGATCATAAAGAAATAACAAGTAATATTCTAATCTCTAGCATGCCAATCAAAGTTCATAATGAACAATGTCTTTCGTCCGTTCATTCATAACTGATATACAATTCTGGTAAAAACCAATTAACAATTGAAAAGTTTATAAGAATATCTTGTCATCATATGTCTACTAGTTCATCTTCACCTGCTGCATTTCTTGCTTGGACGCCCTTTGATGCTTTGCATCAATGCTTTTCTTGTATTATATATAGACCGTTTCTTGAACCAACCAGTACTGAGGAATAAGTGTAATGTTTCTTGCTCAAGGAAACTACGACTTGCGGCTACTATGCGATTAGCGATCATAAAATCACTAGTCCGCCGCGTTAACCACTCGGTCATGCCGGTTCAGTTTATCCGGGCAAGTACACATGATATAGTGAAAAGTTGATGATAACAACCTTACGGAATTTCCGTGAAATTTCCGAAAATTTGTGAAGGTTGTTTTACAAAATCATTTTTAAATTTCAAAAGATATCTTAGGTATAAATTGTTTGTGAAGTTTACTCAGGTGCGTAAATCACGCCACTATCATGCATTTATATTACGTATTTACTATAAATAAACATTCAGACGACGCATTTTATAACCTTAGAACGCAATAAATCTGTTTTGGAAATTCCCTGATTTTTTAAAAATATAAATAATTTGTTCAGTGCGTTTAAATATTGAGTGGATTAGACATAGACAATAAGACACAGTTAAATATAAAAGAACACTGGAGGTAATTTTAATATTAATATTCTGATCTCGTAATATATATAAATATATAATTAAACAAATAAATAACACTGTTCATGAGTTATCTAATTTGATGATTTGCCAACCAGTTTCTCTTATGGTCATCAGAAGTGACGTCGTATAGTAACGACGACATTTGTGTGTACATACATGTGTACATAAAATCTAAGAATATTTATGACGTGATATGACATTTAGAAATATAAATATTAGAAGTTACAGCGCTATAGTTTATCAAACTTGTATAAATCTTGTTTTCGGTATGACAGTTCTATAATAATATATCCTTAATTCTTTATGATAGGCAAAATCGCATGAATTATTTGGCGTTTTATTTAACGTTAAGTTCATACGTTTTGAATAAACCGACGTAATATTACGATAACTATCAGTTCAGAACAATTTTTTTTTGTAAATGATCTGAATTAAAAATAAATACAAGAAAGAAAGCAATCACTGTTTACATTTAATCATTGCTTAACTTTGAATAGACGAATGAAAATGAAAACAAGCAGGAATGTTATAAATGGAATTAGAAGCACACTTTGAACATCAACTTCCTACTATCAACAAAAAAACAACACTGCAATGGCCGGCGAACCGAAGAAAAAATCTAAAATATTATGAATGCGTATTTATGAAACGTAACGTTTATTTTTAAGTGTATGTCAGCAATGGAAAACGAAGAAATAGAGTCCATATTAAATTGTCCAATTTGTATGGAGGAATACAATGACCCGCGTATCCTGCTGTGTCAACATACATTTTGTGAAGCCTGTTTATCAACCTACATCAAAGACTTAAGTAAGAACAAACCGCTAAATGTTAGGTCATTTCCGTGCCCTATTTGTCGACACAAAACAAAACTGAGAAATAACGCCGACGACGCATCGTCATTCGAAAAAGATTTGACAAAGATAGCATTGCTGCAGTCCAAACACATCCTCCTAATGCAAGATGATGAGTCATCAGATGAAAGTGACATATTCGCGACACAAACCATGACAACGCAAACAGAAGACGGAAATAAAGGTAGGATTAACTAAATGTACTTGTTATGAATGATTATACTTTCTTTAAAATTTTCTAAAAAGATTACTACATGTAATAGTCTTTTAAAGTTTTTGAGGATATGGCAAGATTTTTAAAACAGGTAACAATCGGTCCTTTAGTGTGCAAGATGACACCTTATGAAACTGGATCCAATGGACTATGCCGCATCAGCTGTACATTAATCATACCATTTTCAGCTTATAAGATACTAAATAATTATTCTGATATTTATTCAAGACAACTGATTATTCTTGTTACAGATTCCAATTCAACGTCATTACCTACTGAAAGTGTTAACGGTAACATTCGAAAACCACCTTTGAAAAGATACAGAAAACGTACAGTGAAAAAGATTAAAAAGAGTAAAGAAAGAATTGCCATGAAACAAAATCAACAGCTCAAGAAGAAAAATAAAGAATCGGAGATTAAATCAGACGTACTGGAAACTCTCGATCTGGATTATATGGATTATTTTCTCAATAACTTCATTCTGATACCTATTATTTCTTGGAGTTCGACAGGAATTACCCGTCATTTGATTTTTGCTATATTTGCACTTCTTTTTATCATAATAATCACAGTCATAGTTTTAGCTCATGTGCCGTATCTGTTTCTACTTGTAACAGTTATATGGTTGATACTATTTTACCGAGAAAGTTATGAAATACTGTCATCACATTGTAAAATTGTTGAGGTAAGGAAGTATCAAAAGTTCTTGGTTTTTTTCCTGCGGTTTGCCATGTTAATGTGTATTGTAGGAATTTTAAGCTGTTTGTATATTGTGCCATTTTTTAGCTCTTTGTGGACAACTTTTAGCAATGCTCTTTTGACAAACGATTCTGTAGTTTCAGTCTATGAGTTTAGGAAGAATTTCTTTGCTTTTCAATCAAAATTAGAGAACAATTGTCAAAATTTTAATATTCTCTCATACTTATTAATGAAACGATGTATAAATTTTTTACGCTTTTTAATTTGGTAATAAAAGTCAGGTATCAGAAAAACTATTAAAATTAGTTGTTCCTAAAAGAATCTATATCATTTAAAAAAATTATGTATATATATATATATATTTATATATAATTATAATGCTGTAACATTGTATTTTCTTTAAAATATATTTCTGAATAAATTCATGAATCAACATTATGTCTTTTTAAAGGTTAAATGAATTCTTTCGAAAATAATTTTTTTTCAACTATTGGCTAATTTATTTAAAATATATACTTTTGTAGATTGTAAAAATGAAGTAATTTTTAACAAACATTGGCGTGTATAATAATATCTTGGAATGCATTGTGTCCTTAATTTTGTAGTATAAGCTGAAGAAATTAATACATAATGAAATTCGTATTCAATATCATTACACTGGCACTTTTTATCATTTCTATCTATGTTTATATGTCTACCAGTTTCAATAAAGTTGATGAGACGACAAACGTAATCTAACAAGAGTTTATCTAGATTTTGGAAATTTCATCATAAAATAAATAATATTCTGATATTTCAAAATTAGTATAATAAAAATGACGATATTGAAGAGATGTCATATCTTTAGTTATTTACATAAATTTCCTGCTGTCTTATTTGAAAAATGACAATTAACTTAATAACATTTATATCTACTGAATTTATATCTACTGAAAAAGGAAACAACCAAATATCATTAAAACTAGCATTTTGTAATATGTCTCTTACTTTCGTAGCCCAATTGACAACATAATTATTTTCAGATTCATGTCTAAATTTATCAATGGTACTTGATAAAATACAATTACAGTTTTTTCATCATGTTAATCTAAAATATATTATCAGTATTTAAACATTGCCTTGTCTCCTTAAAGCTATTATACCTGAAATATTTCATTATTTCTGTTTGTCATTAGTTTTCACGACTCTTGAAGTCAGATGGAATAGAATATTGTAGAGTTATTAAAATCGGTGTCTTCTAAAGATGTTAATACATCTTTTTAAAGCATTATTTTCCCTTTTTGTTAACAATGTCAATTTATCAAAAAGAAATACTTAAACAGATAAAACAAAAGTACTTGAAAGTTCTAGTGCATAATGTTACATCAAAAATGTGTGCTAGTATTTTATTGGTGACATTGTGGACACGCAAGCGCTATCTTATCTGCCTCTCTAGAAAGGTGCACGTGTCGCAGTTTTATCTTGTTGATCGTTGTGAAAGGGTATAAGGAAATAAAATGTTTGAATAAGAGATATATAAGCTAACTGGTGGAAGATTTTTTGACCTGACCTAACATTTCTTTGTCATATTTTGAAACATTCACTTGTTATACGAATAACTGTTTGTGTTATAAACACATATATTATTTCATTAAAAAACATTTGTGATTAGTTAAGACCAAACTTACACAAACAAGCAATGAGAAAAATAAATCTCAGTACCTAAACAGTCAAACTTATTCATGCAAGATGCTGTATGAAAACGTGTTTTCAAACTATAGAAGAAAGTTTGTCTTAAAAAGGAATAATTGTTGCGTGATCAATCATTTGCGAATAATTTCAATTCGCAAAAATCGCAAATATATTTCCACGTCGCAAAATTAACCACATATACAGTACTTTTTTATATTTTAGATTGCTCAAAATTTACACAGGAAGTACTTTTAGGCACATCTCGTAGTTATTTGACATGATACGTTTCTGTTTTCTGCTTCGTCTAAAAATGATTGTTGGCAGTGTCCTTTACCACAGATTTAAAGCCCTTTTTATTGTATCAATTCGTCTAAGAACAATCTGAGGAGTCCGTTGCCTGTGAAAGTTATCCTACCTTTAATTGCTTATGTAACAATACACTTCAGTAATTGATTATTAAGCTTAATCATCTACTTAGGATTCATACAAATAATTTGAAAATGAGAAAATAATAAAAATATTGTTCTATTCAAATAAGTCTTGTCATTTCAATGAAATTGTTACCATGAAAAACAGAAAAACTAGAACGATTATTACCCCCACCAGCAACTTTGACTTTTAAAAAATAAGTGGTCTGAAGAAAACTTTGAACACAACCTACAGTAAATAAAGTATCAACAGCACTGTGTACAAAGAATTATTTCAATTATTTGCAATTCCAACCATGATCTTCATATAAACTTGTTTTACACTTAATTTGAATGCAATATCTGATTTCTAATTTTAATTATTGTCCGAAAACCATTTTTCTATTTTAAGTTATAGTGACACTTGATCCCGGGGGAGTGAGGGTCCAAATGCAATACAACCAGGGTTTCCACATAAGGTTGCTAAATACCAAGTGAGATTACAATATCTCATTTAAAAACTAATGTTATCTTCTGGAAACAATTTTTCTATTTTTGATAACAGTGACCTTGGCCCAAGGGGGTCTAAAAGCAATCTCAATCAGGGTCTTTATATTAGTTTGCTATATACCAAGGATGATTACAATATCTCATTCCTTTCTCTTGCTATTATCCGAAAACAATTTTTCTATTTTAAGCAATGGTTACTTTAACCTTAACCCCAAGGTGTCCGAAAACAATCCACAGCAATGTCTTCATATCAAATGGCTATTCACCAAGTTTGATTGCAATATCTAATTCCTAACTCTAGTTATTGTCCGGAAAACATTTTCTATTTTTAGTAACGGTGACCTTGCCCTTGAACCCAAGAGGTCCAAATGCAATTCAAATCAGGGTCTTTATATAAGCTTGCTATATACAAAGTTTGATTATAATATCACGTTTTTTTTAAATTTAGTTTTTGTCCGGAAAACATTTTTCTATTTCTATTGATGGTTTCCTTAACCTTGACCCCAGAATGTCCAAATAAAAGACCAATTGGGGTCTTCAAATAAGCTTGCTATATACCAAGTTTGATTAAAATATCTCATTTTAAACATAAGTTATTGTAAGGAAACCATTTTTACAATTTTTAGTAATGGTGACATTGACCATAACCCCAGGGGGTACAAATGCAGCACGAATCGGGGTCTTTATGTAAGTTTGCTATATACCAAGTTTGAATACAATATCTTATTCTAAGCTATTGTTATTGTCCGGAAACCATTCTTCTATTTTTAGTAAGTGTTACTGTAACCTTGACCTTGACCACAGGGTGGTCTAAATGCAATACCAGCTGAGGTCATTATATAAGCTTGCTAATATTTATACTAATTTTGAGTGCAATATCTCATTTCTATCTCTAGATATTGTCCGGAAACCATTTTTAAGTAACGGTGGCATTGACCAAAGGAGATCCAAATGCAAAACCAACCAAGTCCTCAAATATACTTACTATAAACCAAGTTTGATCACAATATATCATTTCTAACTCTAGAAATTGTCCGAAACCATTTTCCTTTTTTAGTAATGGTGACCTTGACCCCAGGGGGGTCTGTATGCTATATCAACCGGGGTTTCCACATAAGGTTGCTATATACCAAGTTTGATTACAATATCTCATTCCTAACTCTAGTTATTGTCCGGAAACCTTTTTTATTGATGGTGACCTTGACCTAAACACCAGGGGGTCCAAATGCAATACCAATCAGGGTTTCCACCCAAGGCTGTCAATCCTTTCAGGACAATGTTCAACATCAACTTCTTATGAAAGCTTTGCCTTCAATAGCCTACACAGTAAAGGTCACATGGCGAAGACACCAGGTGCCCTTATAAGCATTTTTCAGGCCAGAATGGGCACTAAAGAATGGTAAAAGGAGAAAACGTAGACCTGTACATTTGCATATATAAGACATAATATGATAGATAAAAGAAATTCATAGGTGTTTTTCTACTTACAGCTAGGCAATATGTCAAGTTCAGAATTGGAGACCTGTATTCTTGATTGTCCGCTATGTTTGAAAACATACGAAGATCCACGAATACTACCATGTCAGCATTCAGCTTGCGAAAAATGCCTGTCCTCTTACATCAAGCACATAATTGATAAAGGGGACCAGCAAACAGGACTTCCTTGCCCGGTCTGCAACCGAAAAACAAAGTTGAGAGATGCTTCATCGTTCAAGAAGAGCTTAACAATCGTCGCATTGCTTGATTCAAAACATCTAAAAGCTAAGATACAAAAGGCATCTGCTAAGAAGAAAAGCAATGCTAGGACAATTGCAACGCAAACTGGTTTTGAAGAAACATACATTGAATCAAAAGATAAAGTCAATGGTAAAGATGTTTGCTCAAAGTTATTGTACCTTAATATAAGATGTACAATTGAATAACCTAATACATGTAAAATGTACAAATTAATTATATAAAATAAATCACGCACTATGGAAGTGAAAGACTTAATATACATAAACTTTTCTGAATAAAGACAATATTACAACTAATGTAGTATATTTTTGCAATATTCATTATGCTTTATTCCATTTTATTTCAGTGATGAATAATGAAAAGGATGTTGTAAATAGAAAAAAGGACAAAAGTACACGTTTGGAAAACGGAAATTATGTCAAGGTGGCAACGCAAGAAAAAAATGACACTGTTCAAAATCCTGTTGGCAATAAAAATCAGACACGCCTACGTCCTAACGGTGTAACGTTTTTTCTTTTATTTTTGAACATTGATATCTGGGGGAAAATTGCATTTATGTATGTTTTATTTGTGATTGATTTAGCTTTCTTCACAGTGAGTTTGTTCATCCCTTACCTGACATTTTTCATTATAGCATTAGATTTAACTTTAAATTATGAAAGAAGGCTAAATTTTATTAAAGCGTTGTATGAAAATCAGATAATTACGAGAAAATGGCGATGTCTTTTCCTTCTGGTAAATCTGGAATGGTTCGAGGTTGTAGTAAACGGCCTCTTTACAACAATTTTCTATGCTGCAATTTTCAGTTACCTTGACACTTTCTATGATGCTATTTCTGAGAAACAGGCTGTTTTTACACTTACTGTTTTAGGAAAGAATTTCATTTTGAGATTGGTTAATATAAACTATCTTGATGATAAACTGCGTAACTTGCTCAGTGTCTTTGTAAAATTGGTTTTTAATGTGAACATTTAACACACACCAGTTTAATTGACTTTTCATGAAATATATTAGCAATAAAATGGTTTGACCTTTATCAGAAATATGAATGTACTCCGAGGTAGAGGTTCGTGTATATGTAACAGGTTTAGGGAAATCACATCATGTGAAGACTTTTATTTTTATAAAACAATGTTATAACTATCAACTGCAATGATTATAATGAAAAAACAAAACGTTGTGAGTTTAAAAAAACTTGATTGTATGAAGTGTATCACAATTAAATTTTGATTTTGGGAAATCTTAAAATATGATTATATATCAAAAATTAACCCCTTTTCTGTTTTACTTAATGTTTCCGCTGTTTTGTTGATCAAAGATTGCTTGCTGATAATTGGAATGAATTTATTTATACCAATTTTATTAATTTATTAATGTTTGTTAATATCCAAAGGCTCCAGACTTTTTTATTGTCTCTCTTTTAAGAAGTTGCAATAATGCTAATGGTGCAAAGACTGGAAATATGTCACTGCTGGCTTTTGTTGAAGATATTATACATGATTATGTTAAATGGTTTTAAAATAATATTAGTTACTTGAATGCGTCTGTACGCAAAGCTTATCATGAATTACATGAAAAAAGCAACAACAAAACACAAAAAAAACAACCAAAACAATTGTAATATCATATTAACCGAGACTCATAATCTACTACTTTTTTTATAATATCTTTCATCGTTTATAAATATATTAATTTCTCTGTGTTTCATGACGTACGATATAATTTGACACCAGAACAATTTCTATAATTTATATCTTCCGTATTTCCCGAATTCTTGTCAGTCTTGTTTTGTAATAGTTATAGTACATGAAACGAGTTAGTTACGAGGATATAACACTGGCTGGGGCGACATCAAGGGATGTTTCTTCTAAAAAATGGCGAGGCCGTAAGGCTATATACTATAACTGTTTCATCGCAATGGCATTATGTTTTCTTTGTTGTAATATAAATAAATGAATAGATAAATAAATAAATCGTTAGCTACATTACAGTTATTTATGATAAGGTAGATTTCATAGAAAAGATATACAAAAACACCCAATGTTAGAGGCGGATTGTAAACCGTTACCAATATTGATTCAAGATTAAAGGGCTTTTTTTCAGTGGAAATAATTCATTCAGCGGATGTACCTTTTGATTAAATGAGAGTAAATTTCATTTCAATAATTATCTTTGTTTATATTTTTCATTGTTTTTATTTTTATTTATTCATTTTATTTTGATTCCATTTTTTGCTACTGGGAATGTTCGTTACCACTGCCCCATTGGAGCCTCTGTGAAAAAAACTACATTGATATATACAAGGTGCGAAAAAAAACTCAACCGCTATATAGCAGTCGAGTTTTTTTCCTATATGAAACAATGAAAAAACTGTACTGCTATATATCAATACAGTTTTCAAATGCTCATTGAAGTGTTCTGAGTATAATGGGTTAGTAAGAACAAAGGAAAAGTTCCAAACCATGCGATAATATAATATAATGGCAAGCTTTTTTACTAGATTCATCAAATGTGCCTCATATGATTCAAAAAGGAATATCTTTGTATGAGAATAAGATGTTATTGCAGTCTTTTTTACTGGACGATATATAGTTTTATAATCCTTGTGTCAAATTAAATTTTTTATATCTTTGTACATATTAAGTGTTTCGTTGTGCAACTGTTATAAGCTTTGTATTTGTGTATAGAATTGATGACATATTACGATAGATCTGCAACAATGAATTGGTATGTGTGAGTATATATGCCTGTAGTACTTTTACTGTCTGAAATAACTGATATGGAATAACGTTTTATAATATTGTGTGTGGTTTCTAAACAGTATAGTCCCACTTTGCCTGTGTCTCATTAATGTTTCCAATCAATTAAATCCAAATTAAACTTCGTAATGTGTAATTATTTTAATAAAATTGCTGATTTTGTACCAATAAAGATTTTATAGTTCTGTTCATGAATTTGGAAATCTCCTTTATATCTGGTAATAATAGTCTTTCAAAGTAATAAGAGGTAAACATCTCTTTAATTCTGTTTCAATATGTATTGATGAGGTGTCGTGACTGACAAAGCTAAAGACATCAGGCATGATGCATTTTTAATAGAACAAGTTTATTTTCAAATATTGATAGTTACGTAATGAATAATATATGTTTGTAGAACATGTTTTATATTTCAGTATGGTATTTATATATACATGTACTAGTATTTTGAAATGTTAGTATGTTAATTTTCTAAATTGTATATTGCATTATATGGATTATTAAACAATTGTATTTAGTACAGATACATGCAAGCACGAGCAATAAAATATAAGTTTTGATAAGGAATGATTTATATTTTGACCACATCTATTATCAGTCTCTATAACATTTGAAAACTCTGACTATAACTTTACGTTTACAATTCCTACTTACAATCAGCCTTTTTGAAAGACATATTTTGGGACAATTTAGACGTCACTGTGAAGGTTTGATTGATTTAAGCAAAATAAAACTTGATGATTACTTTCTTTGAGAACTGAGAACGCTCCCTTCGCAGCTTACTGAATAGACACACGTTAGTTGCGATAGTGAAACATTCGACCGATGCGCAGGAGAGTAAGGACTGGTATAATAAAGAAGCCAGTCAATAAAAAAATTCACATTTTTCTTTTTTTTTAACAGCTAAGCAATATTAATATCAGAATCAGAGACATGTATTCTTGATTGTCCGTTATGTTTGAAAACATACGAAGATCCTAGAATACATCCGTATCGCAAAAATGCCTGTCCTTGTATATAAAAGCCTTAGTTCATAAACGAGAAAACAGTAATTCGATGTATTCTCTGCAACAGAAGAACGCAGTTAAGAGATGGTCCCTGTTCTAGAAACGTTTATCATTCACTGCATTGTTTGGTTCAAAACCTCTAAAAGCTAAGATACAAAAGACATCAGCTCAATAGAAAAGAAATCCTAGATTTGTTACAATGCCGCTCACTATCAAGGACTTTTGAATATGTTATAGGTCTACTGAAACGTTTCGGCCAATTCCTTTAAATTTCGGATAAGGATAGGTAGATATAAGAAGTCATCGAGGCTTTCAGAATTTTAGAACGGTAGTGGTTGCATGCAGATTGTATAGCAATTCTATACACATTTGAATTAAAATTAATAACGATAAACGGTCTCAATGTTTATTAGACGCCGCGTTCACGTATTTATTTACTTTCATTTTTATACCATTTTTATGCAATATTCACATATTCACGGAAATTCACGAAGCCGTTTTTGTCACAAAGACATTCATTACAGTGATAAGGGATAGATTTCTTAACTACTTAGCTCCTTTCACTAGATCAAACCAAATCATATAATGAATATTTTGATTTATAGATATTATCTTTTTAATAGGGCTAGTCTTATTTCTTTATTTCACCTTATCTGAAAACCCTTCCGAATTTTGAGATCAAACCGTTCGATTTTGGAGAGTAGTTTGAGAACTTCTTAGTACTAGTAGGTGATTAAATAGTAAACCTTTATGAAGTTAGTTTTCAATAAATAACAAAAAGAAAAACATAAAAAAGACAAATGTTTCATCTCAAGTTTAATTGTTACAAGACAAAATATTTTTATTCAAACTGTATGACAAGATTCATAGCTTTTTGAGGGCTAGAGTATTTATCGGCACACTGATAAACTTTTCTGGTATGTTTTGTATAATGTGTAGACTCTTCAGCTCATGATTATCAAAGTAGTATTTAAACACTTTTTTACTTACTAAGACTCTTCTGCACATTTCAATAAATAGGGTTTTAATTGATATTAACGCATATCCTATGTCAAACAAGTGGATCAAGTAAAAACATGCATACTTGTAAATTGATATAAAAGTAATCACAAATGCTCCAACCTTTTTTTGTATGTACATTGTACATGTATTTATGCTTAATTGATATTAAAATTGTGTTCATTAATCATGTACAAATATTCTATGAATTTTTATTAAAGTTATATATCTAATAGTTCAAGTATGTACAACAGTCACACCAGCATCCTCAACTTTTTTAATTAGCTTGTCCATTTTGGCGTTCTGTTCTTGCGTTAATTCCTCATGCCATGTTCCAGGTTGACCTGCATTATAAAACTAATTATCATTTAGCTAACGTACATTTCTAGATGCCATACTAACATACTAACTCGCAAAGGCAAGAAAGGTGTCATTATACATTTATCAGCCTGTTGCCAGGATTAAAAAAATAATAATAGGCAAGAGTCTTAATTTGCATTTAATTGCAAAAAATTGACTCAACCCCCCCCCCTCCCGCCGGAAAGTCGGTGGGAGATATTCAACCCGTCTGCACTTCCATTTTTCTGTACCTCATTTTTAAAGAGCATAATTTAAACAAGTTTCTAAGGTATTAAAAAGATGGCATCTGTAATTTGTACAATGACTAAAACCGTAACATTCTATATGGAACGGTTTTGTAGTTATCTCCCTGAATTAATCTAGAGCAGTATATAAAAAAATTGTTTCAAAAACCTTGTTAAAAGGGAAGTTCTAATTCCAGTTTAATACAGCTTCTAAGACTACCTTTATTAAATACGTATGTTATCAATTAGTTATCATTATTTAAATCAAAGATATTTTATTTAATATAAACCTTTATTTATAAAATGGTTTTCCCCTGGTTTAAAGTCGACATATCCTATATCTTGCCAGTATGAGTAATTAACTTCTTCATTATTCCTCATCTTCTCAATACTGCAATGCTCGGCAATGTCGGCAACATCTTTATCTGTTAATGTACGTCCTAGAAATGTGGCAATACGTCTGATTGCTGCAGGCATATCCTGTGAGGAATTAAAATCTAAAAATTGCGAATGTTTTCGAGCGAGTATGTCACATTTACGGTATAAAGATCAATAAAATAGAGCGACATTCAACGACATTTAACGTGAGCAGAAAATTGCACAGGGCTACCAATGTAAGAAAGCACCGGAATAATTAAAGCACGACATAACATTGTCTTACGAATATCCAATAAAATCTTGATAAAAAAATCACATCAGTCACTTATGACAAAGATATATTTATTTTGAAGTGGTCATGAATGAATGGTTACAGTAAAATTATTTCCTTTTTAATAATATCCGACATATTAAGCTTCTCAAAATGTTTTCATTTGCATGTGATACACTAATCTTTTGTTAGCTTTTCTTTTGCAATAAAAGGAAGGAAACATTTATTTTTATAAAAGCATGTGAATGGACAGTTAGTAAGAGATGATAAATTTGAATCTTATATGATAAATATTTCAAGATAAAGACCTATATGTACAAGATAATAGTAGTGATGTATTATTAGTATTCATATCTGTTAAGTAAACGCTTCAATGTCCACGTGTGCTATAGATTTATAAACTCACTTTGACAACATCTTCAAATCGGAGAAATAAAACTTGAGGTTCATCTTTCTTCTCCCAATATCCAAGAACATGCTGCGGCCACGGACAAGCATATGCTAAAAGAAATTTATGTAAAGGCACTTCGTGTAAAGAAGTGAGTACATTTGATATATTCATACTCAAGATTGATCATTGGCATTTGTCATTTTCCGGTTAAATCGGTTATTTTATTATCCAAAAATATTTTTAACTATAAGAACAAAGTTAAACAATGAAAGGTGATATTCGCCTAACGCAGTCCCAACGAATCCCGGCAACACGAAACCACCTACACTTATTCCAGCATTGAATACATCACACTAATGCAGGAGAGGACACAAGGGCAAATCAAAGTTGTAACGTTTCAATAGATAATGATTGAATTAAGAAAAACTTACGAAACTAAACAAAAAAAAAACACTTAAGAATGCATTAAGGCTGTCAGGGACTGAATGAATGTGGAATGATACCAGAGTGATGATATCAGTGTCATGGAGGGGAAGGGGTGAATGAAGAATTCACACATGAATGTGTACATGTAGTAAGATTTCACTAAATCAAATGAGCCAAAACTGTATTTTACTGTTAACATAGTATGAATTAATCAGGGTGTTGTGTGTTGCATATGCAAATTATGCTGATTCTGATACAGAAAATTGGTATTCAGAATAAAGAAACTCAATTTGTGATTTGTGTTTACTAATATTTAACTGAATCAATAAAATTTTATTTCGCTTTAAACATTCAGATATAGAATAAAAAAAAAGAAACTGGTATATAATAAAAAAAGAAAATTTTCTTCTTTTTTATTATTGGAAAAAAATTCTTAGTTAATTAAAAGATGGGTGTCCTGCAGAAGTGGATTATAAACTAAACAATGAATTGATGCATAGAAAAAAATCATGAAAAGGAAGGTTTCAAACTTTTTTTAATAAACATAATGAAATATCACAAATTTTCCAAAAATGTTTTGAAAAATCCCTGCTTGCTGAGCAACTGTCATTGTGCATCACACAGTAATATATTGATTTTATTTCATGCTTTCCAGTGTTTTATTGTAATATATCAGATGATTATATTCTGATAAACCACTAGTGAAATTTATAAAATATAATTTCACTGTAGCCGGACTATATCTGAATGCGGATGAAAAGAAAATCATAATAAAAAATAACAGACAGAAATAAATGCACGTCACACGTAAAAATTTTGCTTCTTTAGGAAAGAAAGTCGATGTCACCATACGTCATGTTAAATGTAACAAGTTAGAAACTTTAAGAGAACTATATTTCAAAATTTGATGTTGTGACGTCATGATGTGATGACGTCACAAAATGAGAATGCGCGACGGTTACGCGACAAAATCAGTAAAAAAAAAACTTAAAATCACTTAAAAAAGCATGAAATAAAAAGAAAATTTATTTGTTTACATATAAGATTGAAATGATATTTCATTCGTGAACACCAGCTATTTATTTTCCCTCGTGGTACG